CCGGCCGTGGGGGAGGGGCGGGCTCTGTCCACCCGGCGCCCCCTGCGGACGCCCCTCCCCCCAGGAAATGCGGATGAAGCCGGGTTAATGCATAATCGGGAGGCGACGTGACGCGACTTCCAAGGGGCTCTCGGCGGCGCCTTGTCCACGGGAGTGGGGGCCAGAACCCGGGCCGCGCCGCCCCCACGCCAAGACAGCAGGCCCAGCTCGCCGGCTCGGCACGACAGCCGGCGGGCGCGGGGTTGGCCTCGGTCGGTGCGGGCAGTGACTGGCCTGAGTCGCGCGCGGGCCCGCCCACCTCCCGCTTGGGCCTCCCGCACTCGCGAGGGAGCAGGGCGCCCCCTGCCGTCCTGCGGCGCAGGCTCCGATCCAGCCCGGAGCTAGCCACACCCCCTCCTGCTCTGGCCGGCTGCAGCTCGGCAGGGCGAGGTACAGTGGGTACACTGAGGCCCAGAGGGTCCAAGCGAGAGCCTGACCTGTGGGGAGATGGAGGAAGAAAGAAAGGGCACCACTGTGTCTTCGTCAAGACTAGTTCTGCCATGCACGAGCCACAGGTCTCAGAGTCAGAAGCAATGAAAAGTGGGCTGCCGAAGCTCAACTCGCTGGGGGACTCCCCAAACCCAGTGGGGGGGCTTCAAGGACGGAGGGACATGAGGGGCTGCGCTCACACTGATTGGCCCAGCCACCTTCTCATCCAGTGTCAACACAGTGGTCACTCGCAGAGCCAGATGTAGGAGCCCCCCAGGCCAGACTAGCACCCATACACACTAGAAAGGGTTTCTGGGTCTCAAGCCAAATCCTGGGGTCGGTGGAGGAGACGTACGTGTTCCGTGGGATTCTCCTGGTACCGGACGTGAGTCTGGCTCCTGCCAGACATGAGCAGGTCCATATAGGAGGAAAAGACAGAGCAGGAAGTATGCCAGGAGAAAGGAGGTGAAGCATGTTCCAAATTGGGTACCCCCATCTGGGACACGCTGTCTTTGGTGGACAGACGAGCCCCCAATTCCAGTGCCCCCTATCGGTTGGCTATAGCCTCTCCATTAGGCAGAGCCCTGAAGGGGGTACCTTTGTTGGCCACCCATCCTCTATTCAGGATCTCAGCCCCAGCCCCTGTGCCCCTTTCTGGACAGTACTGGTGGAGAGTGAGCTGGCAGGCCCCAGCACCAGTGGTGTGGGAGAGACCCACTGGATCTAGGGGTCACTGGATCTAGGGGCCCTGGGGAGGGGCAGCTGCCTGTGGCTCAGCCTGCCCACGAGGGGCCCCAGGAGATGTGTCTTTTTCTTACTCTAGAGGTGAATTCTTCAGAGCATGGAAGCATCTCTTCAGTTTCAGGTCAGGGGAGATATCACTGGGATGCCCTTGTCCCTGAACTTGGCCACTGAAGCCTGGTCACCTGGGTGGGCCTGGGTTCCCGCCCCAACCTGCTCAGCAGGGATATGGAGGTGAGGTCCATAGGGTCAGTAGGGTCGGTGGTGGAGTGGAGCAGACCGAACAGTGCTTTCTCTGCATCCGCATTTATTACCAAAGCTTGATTCAAGCGGGGGGCCCTCTACAGTGCTCTGAGGGCCCTGCCCTGCCCCCACGAAGGCGCAGATTCATGAACACGGTGCACTGGGACTTGAGACCATAGTCGCCCAGCATGTGCTCGTCCTCCATAGCCCTCCCCTCAAAGCTTAGGTAGAACATATCTTCCCGTGCCCCCTCTTGCTGGCACACCTGCTTCTTCAGCGCCGCCACCTTCTGTGTCAGCTGGACCTCGTACAAGCGGCTGCGTCCCTTGTCATTCCTCACAAGGATGCTGAAGGGATCTTCGCAGTCCTCCACCAACAGCAGGAGTATGCTGCCCGGGGCCAAGCCCTGCTGGGTGAGGGTGAACCCATCCTGCAGCACCCTGTTGCTTGGCTGGATAGCTAGGCGCTGCTGGAAGGCAGGCACTCCAGTCTCCTTGGCGATCTGCCTTTTCAGTTCTGGCACTGTCATAGAGTTGTTCATGGGCACGAGGAACTCCTGGCCCCCCAGCATCTTCACTTTCAGGTCCCCGCCCTGTGGATGTTACATGGGTTTAGAGACTCATTCGGAATAAGCCAAGAGTGAGTGAGCTCCTGAACCCTGGGATGCAGCTCTAGGCCATCTCCCCTCGCCACCCACAGGGAAGAAGGCACAGAAGAGGTCTTTTCCTTCTTTTCTAGAAGAAGAGCTAGTCTCCCGTCATCCAGACGCACTGGTCCTACCCCAGGGCCTCCAGGGTTGCCCACAGAGCAAGGCTGGAGCACCATCCTTCCCCCTCATACTGTGGACCCACCCAAACTCTGAGCAGCTCTGCTTCTAGGAGATCCCAAGCGGAGGGAAGGAAAGTTGACTCCCACTGTCAGGTCTGCCTTACCATGGTTGTGGGGTGTAGCGCTAGGTACTCCTCAGGCAATAACGAGTGAGTTCTCTACCTGTCAGCTCCCAGCTGCTCCCGTCGCTCCATCAGCCAGCCCCTTTATGAGCCTGAGCTGTATGCGTCACGGGGCGGTGTCTCCAGCCGCCAGCGTCAATGGCCAGTCGCCTTCGGTTTCAGTTTCCTTTTCCCAAGGCATGGCACCCAGAGAGAGGAAGAAACAAAACAGAGCCCCAGAATGATAAGGAAGTGCAGCGGGGGAGGTTTCAGGCTATTGGGGTGTCAAGGTCAGTGGAGCATCTGCACATCATAAGAAGCGGGGTGTATTCGAAAAGTTCCTAAATATCCAACACAGCAGGTCCTTTACAAGATGCACAAGGGTCATAACAACATGACTAATGGTTGAAAACTTTCATTTTCCATTTACCAGTTTCCAAATTAGTTGAATTAGGGGTTAGGGATATAGCTCAGCTCTAGAGTACTTGCCTAGTAAACTAATTAACTTGGTAAATTTCACCATGATTAACTCAGAAACAATATAAAACAACACACCAAGTCACCCAGAGATGAGTATCATTGGTTTAGGATATCTGTTTAGTCTGATTTTCAATGAAAGAGATATATCTTTTTTCTATAAAAATAAACATATGGACACCATCAAGAAAATGAAAGATCAAGTCACAGAACCAGAGAAAATATTTCTGAATTAAGTATCTCATAAGAGTCTAATATTCAGTATAAAGAACTGTCACTCCTTAACAACAGAAAGATAAATAATTCAATTTAGAATGAGCAAAAAGGGCTGGGGATGTAGCTCAGTGGTAAAGAGCTAGCCTTGCTCAGCATGTTTGAAGCCCCTGGGTCCAATTCCACCTACAAAAAAGGCAAAAGTTTGAATAGATAGTTCCCTAAGTAGATATTCAAATGGCAAACAAAGGTGAAAAGATGCTCACCATCATTAATCATTAGGAAAATGCAAATCAAATCACATGATGAGATACTATTTCACACTAGCATGACAATGATAATAATAATAAAGAGTAATAAGAAATATTGGTGAGGACATGGAGAAACTGGTATTCTGGTACTTTGCTTTTGAGATGTAAAATGGTATAGCACTGTGGGAAAGTCTACTTATTCTTCAAAAAGTTAAATATAGAATTATCACATGATCCAGCAATTTCACTTCTGGGTATATACCCCAAAGAATTGAAAAGCAGCATTCAAATACTTGTATACAAATATTCACAGGAGCAGTACTCACACTAGACAAAAAGTAGAAACAACCCAAGTATCAGCAGATGCATAGGTAAACAAAATGTGGGTGATCCACATGATGGAATAATATCCAGACACGAAACAGAATGAAGAACTGACATGTTACAACTCAAATGAGCCATGAAAACATTACGCTGCGTGAAAGATGTCAAACCCCAAAGGCCATGTGTTGTAGGACTGTAGATCTACGACATGTCCAGAATAAGATCGTTCTGTTTCTGTCCTCAGTATCAATCAAATGTCCCTGTGTTAGGGCTGGGGATATAGCTCAGTGGCATAAGTGCCTGCCTGGCAAGCACAAGGTCCTGAGTTCGGTTCCCAGTACAAAAAAAAAAAAAAATGTCCCCGTGTTGAAGGTTTGTCAGCAGCCTGTGTTGCTACTGGGAAGCTCTGGAGCCTTTAGAAGGTGGGAGCTGGGGGGAATACCCTTGAGGGAATCCCCCTGATACTGGGAGGGGAACATTCTCCTCCACCATGGGTCCCCCAAGCGACAAAGCCAAGCGACTATGGGCCAAAGTCTGAAATTGTGAGCCAAAAGAAACCTCTTATATGTGTGTGTGTGTGTGTGTGTGTGTGTGTGTGTGTGTGTGTGTGTTGCTAGGGATTGAACCTTTGTACTGAGCTACTGTCCCGGCTCTGTTTTCCTTTTTGTTTTAAGACAAGGTCTCACTAAGTTCATAAGTTGTCCAGGCTAAGCTTGAACTTTTGATCCTCCTGCCTCAGCTCAACCTTCCAGAGTGCTGGGATGACAGGTGTGTGCTACCATGGGTCTTTCCTCCTTTTTCAGTTGCTTCTCTCAGGTATTTTTTCACAGCAGTGGAAAGCTAATACAAGGGACACACACACACACACACACACACATACACATTCAGTGTATATATACTAAATACTACTGAGTTACATACTTCAAAACGGTTAATTTTATTTTATTTATTTATTTATTTATTTATTTATTTATTTATTTATTTATTTATTTTAGTACTGGGAATCAAACTCATGACCTCAGGCTTGCCAGGCAAGTGCTTATGTCTCTGAGGTATATCCCCAGGCCCCGGTTAATTTTTTTTTTTTTAATTTTAAAGAGTAAAAAAAGGATAACACAGTAATGGGGGGCTTACCGAATTACCAACAAAGTGGTAGAAAATTATCAATGGTTGTTGTTTTACATATTGTTATCTACAAGATAGTTTCTCAGGAAAACAAATAGACAAATAATAGTGAGTTACAGACAAAAGTGGTAGGTTATTATTAACGGTTGTTGTACTATACTTTGGTATC